GCCTCCACACGGCTGCTTCAGCACCCAGGGCTGCATCGGGATAGGTCCATGTGGCTTCTCCTCAGGGATGTCTTGCAGGAAGTGAGCCTTGTCAGCTAAAGCAGGGAATTAGCTAAGGCAGCTGCACCCTGGTCCGACCATCAGAAAGCAAGAGACCGGAGAACTTGAAAGGCGAGGCTCACTGAGCCATTTGTCTCTCCGCCCTTCAGTTAATCCCACATGTGTTTATCAGTCAGGTAGGCACAATAAACCTTAACTATCTCAGTTGGAAACCTAATTGGGCTTAGTTGCCAGGCTCTATATTCATCACTAAGGCCTCCGGAAGCTCCAGGCTAGTTAGGAGGTAGTGCTAGGAATACAATTTGTGTGTGTCTTGGTGAGAAGCCTGGGCTCTTTTCACCAAACTTTGCAAGTTCCCATAGGACAGAGAGTTGAAGTTTAAAGAGATGTATGTAAACCACTTTGATAATACAGTGAACCCTCACCACTTCGCACTTCGACTTCCGCTGCTTCACTCTATCGCAGTTTTTGCATAACAGCACAAGCTCTGTCATTACTGCCACTGATTGGCTCATACTGTACATGCTTCTGTCTGCATTGCTACGTATCGGAGCTACGTATCAGATGCATTTTTGCTTTTGTACAGTGTACTGTAATTGTTTGCGATTTTTAAGAAATTTTATCTAAGCCCTATGATGGCTCCTAAACGAGCTGCTTCTTCTAAGCCTTCTGACAATAAAAATAAGCGCCAGAGGAAGATGCTCACCATCCAGGAAAAGGTAAAACTTTTGGATATGATCAAAGATGGCAAGAAAATCGTGGAGGTTGCACACCATTTTGACTTGAATAAGGAATCCTACTTCGCGGAATTTCATTTATCACGATAGGGTCTAGAACCGATTAACCGCGATAAACGAGGGTTCACTGTACAGGCTTTCTACATTAAAATATATAACTTTCCTGACTTACTTGGTGACTTTCAGGTCTCCTAAGGTAGCTCGCTCACTAGAGAAGATGTGCCTGGTGTTAGCTGGAAAATGCCATTGGTCATGAGTCTCGTCAGTATTCTGGCTAAGGTGGACAGTGCCTCTGCCTATTGCTGGGCCAGCTGAGGGGCACGAGACTTAGAGAGGAGACCGATGAGAATGCTTTACAGATGAGGGAGCACATTCACCTGATTGAGCTCTCATAGAGTTGTATTTCCACAGTGGGCAATGGCATAGACGTGGAAATAAGTGTAAGTTATTAGGTTTGAGGGGAGTGGGGAGAGGGTGCGACAGAGTTTGTGCTTGGGACTAGATGGGGGAGGGGCAGGGCATGTTAAATGGACTCAGATTATGAAGGCCCATGGCTAAGAGGTCTTCATTCATTAGAGATTTAACATAGCTATATATTATAAGACAAGACTGTGGACTAATACACTTGAGAGATTGTAACAATGACAGAAACAAAGAGAATTTCCAGAAAAATCAGCCTTCACTGGAGCTTACACCCGCAAACCTTCTTGCCTTTATCAGTCTAAACCCTTTTCTTTGTTTTTTAACAGTTTTATTGACATAGAATTCACATACTATACAATTCAGTGGTTTTAAATATATTAAAAAGAATTGTACAGTTACCACCACAATTAGTTTTACATTTTCTTCATTCTTGTACCCCTAAATTTTAGCTTCCTATTCACCCCTCCCCCAACCTCACCTGCCATAACCCTAAGATTTAACCTAAGCTTCCCCTTCCACAAGAATTTAGGCAAGGTGAGAGTTCACTGTGGAACTCTCCTGGTTCTGCAAGTATCACCATGAGTACTGACAACTGAGAATTTGTTATACTGTAAAGATGACTGGACCAAGTACTCCTTGACCTCTCGGAGCCATCTGCATAATGGTGATCCATGTGCATATATCAATGCTTACCACATCCCGGCACACAGTGAACATGGCTTTGCAGTCAGAATAACCTGGGTATTGACCTTGGTCCTATACCTCTGTAAATGTGATCTTAGACAGGTTACTTGACTTCTATGTGCCTTAGTTTCCTTATCTGTACAATGGGGTAAAGGAGCCCAAACAAGCCTTCTGCTTTGTGTGTCTGTGTGTGTAGGGGGCGAGGGGATGTTTTAATTTTTTCTGCTTCTCATCTCTCTTAGGTCTATCCAGATGAACAATTTGCCGGCATCTCACTTGCACTTCCTCTGCCAAGCGCTGCGTAATCCTTTCTGTAAAATTGAAAACCTGAAGTAAGTTGAACTTTAAAACTTGGGCATTTGCAGGTAAAGAAAGATGGGGCTGCACGCTGAGCTGATCAGACCCGAAAATGAAGCATAACAGTGCTCAGTCCCCCACCCCCAAGCAGGGCAGTAAATGAAGAGCTACATGGAAAGTCTAGAAGGGGCAAGCAGGCACACAGCTCTGCCCTTTCCCCCTGCCCAGAAGCAGGTCAGCAGGTCATAGGCAGGGTATGAACCCCTGGGTGCCACTGAGCAGTTCCTATTAACCATCGCCGTTTCCAGCACCATTGTGAGAGAAAGTTCCAACGAAGAATTTTCCTGAGAACCTACTTGGGTCAAAACAGACTGTCATCTTGCTCTGCCGAGTGAAGAAAGAAACTAGATAGAAAAATGACTTGAGTCTGTCGCAGACCAGGTTTCAACAGTAAAAGCAAGCAATGGGCAGCTATACTTTTTCATGTGTAATGTTTTCATTTAGTGTCCTAATGTGCTAACTTTATGAGATTCATGAGCTGGCTGTGAGTTTTTGAGCTGGTTGTTAAGGTGGCGCTATCAAGTAAGCATGTGTTCCAACCTGCCAGCCGCTCCTGGGGAGAAAGATGAGGTTGTCTACTCCCAGAAAGCTGGACAGCCACGGTAACCCTAAGTAGGGTTCACCATATGTTGTAATTGACTCGATGGCATGGGTTTGGTGTTATTATGGTAAAGTTATCAAACAGATGGGTGTCAGATGTGTGTTAAATGGGGTGGAATTTCATTGCTTGCCATAGGCAGTATTTTCTAGGTGTACACCTCTGCCCCGACCTTTGCCCTTTTTGTAGGTGGTTTTTGCTGCAGTGCGTGTGGGTGGCAACCCCCTTCTGGAACTACATCCCATTCCTTTTCCTCCAAGAACCCCACTGCCCTCCACCCCACTACCCACTAGAATTAAGTCCTATCCCTCTCTGTGCTACTCCCATAAATCGAAACCACTGCATCGAGTTGGTTTCAACTCACCGTGATCCTATAGGACAGAGTAGAACTGCCCCTGTAGGTTTTTGAGGCTGTCAATCTTTATGGGAGCAGATAGCCTTACCTTTTTTTCTGGGAAGTAGCTAGTGGGATTCAAACTGCTAGCCTAACATATAACCTACTATGCCTCCAGGGCTCTTCCCTCACCCTTAAAGTTAATCTAAAAACTCTTATTTCCCAGAAGCTTCCATCCCCTAACCCCCACCCCATCCCTATCCTCTCAGGTGCCTTGTCTCTCTGTATCATGGATGCACAGGCAGGAGCCCCCAGTTCCCTTTCCCTGATCCCCAGTTCAGTTCCTGTCCCAGAGGAAGAGGCAGACCTTCCAAACCCACTCAGGCAAACAAATTCACTCGTTTACCTTTTCTTTTTGTAAACCTTTAATCATTTGAACTTGGCACAACACAGAATTTTATAAACATGTTAAAAACTTCCCCCTCTACTCCACCCCGCATTGCCCTGTTCGTTCCTTATTCTCGAACCTTTTCTGCACTTAACCGCAGCGAACATGTCACCAATACGGTACACAGAATTTCTATTTTTCAAACACATTCTAGTTTTGAGCTTTCCTCAACTATCTCCTCCATAGTTCACCTTGTTCCCTTATTCAAAATAACCCTCGGAACTGTTTCCCCATCTTATTCCTTCCCTTCCCCGGCCAAAGGTCTTTAAGGAGAGCCCTCTACCCCTACCCCCATTCCCTGAATGCCATACTCCATTTCCCAGTCATTCTTTGCTTATAATTCCCTCAGGTCTGCTTATGATTCCCTCATTCAGCTCTTTTCTAGGGGCTCTTGGGAAGCAGAAATCCCCACTAACAACTCCACCCTCCACCACCCCACTCAGTTCCAACTTTTTCTTTTGGCCTGTCTTGTTTGTAACTGCTTTCTTGGTACTAATTTCTGATTTGGCTGTAATGTGGGCGCGCAGACTCCCTTTTCTGCCACCATCAACCACACCCCCTCAAGCTAGCTTATAGACTAGGAGGTCTAGGTAAAGGTCATAGTCTCATTGCACAATTACAGGAGGTGGAGATTTAGTCAGGCAGCCACTCTCACTGGGATCACAGGATCAATTCTTCTCTACATGTCTTTGTTCCATAAGGCTTTGGCCTGGCAGCCTCTAAAACACTTTTGCCTCTGTAAAGCACATAGGGTTTTGCCTTCCCTGTCAGGGCCAGGTATTGGCATTCAGGGTTCTGGCCTGGCCCCAACACCATGTGAGTGACCCCCTGCTTTGTTGCCCAACGCCATCTGTTTGGCTCAGCGTGGGTCGAATCAATTTCTAGTCATCTAAGGCATACATGTGAGGGGAGAACTATTAACATGGCCGCATAGGTCCACTGAAAACCATGGTGGTGGGACACCCCCCCCAAACTGAACTTCCTGCCATTGAGTCAACTGTGACTCATGGCGACCTTCTAAGACAGTAGCACCATTCCTAGGGGTTCCCGTTGGCAAACTTGGCAGGAATATAAAACTTCATCTTTCTCCTGTGGGGTGGCTGGCAGTTTGAACTGACTTTGCTGTTAGCAGCCAAATAATGTAACCCATGATGCTATCAGGGCTTCATAGAACACAAAAAGGTTGTCAAAACATGTCTCCTTTGCTCTACCTCTGGACTTTTTATCTTCCCCTGCCCTCCCACGACCCCACCCCATCCGCCTCCCTCCTATTCCCTTTACTCCAAATTCCTCCTTCCCTCTAGAAATCGGATTTCCTCTTACAGCACATTTCAATTCAGACTCTCATTTTGCCACTCAAGACTTTATTTGCCTTTTAGTTCCATTTCCATTTGCCATTCCCCGGGGGTACAGTTACATCCCCCACCCACAGCGGAAGCAGACATTTCGGCAGGATAGATTCAGGGCCCCACACCAGGGGCACTTCCAATCTCCTGGCTTACCCATTCCTGGAGGCTCAGTGGGCTGGGTCTCCATCCTGCATCTTGGGGGCTCTGGAATACTCACTCCCTGAGCTCTTACATTAGACCCCAAACTAGGGTTAGAGGCCTCCCTGTAGGGTGCTCCCTGGAATGCCCCCATCGGGGGTGGTGCTCTAGGCTGTATAGGTGATGAGGGTGCCAATGCAGGTCTACCAGAGAATGAAGCTAAGGAGCAGGAGTATGCATATGATAATAAGGCAGGTCTCTGGACAGGAAGGGGCATTGATGAAGGTGTGGGGCTGGGATTCAGGGCCCCAGAGAAATACACGGTAGATGTTTCTACTGAACTAAATGCACCCTCCCTCTGCTTTAGAGAAGTGAACTTTTTCTCCTCCATAGCTCCTAAAACTTGCAGGGCACTTCCTCCCGCCTCTGCTGCTGCCCCAGGGGTAGGGCCCCCATCTTGAATTCCCATGGTGGTGGTGGTGGTGGTGGCGGCAGCAGCGGTGGTGGTGGTGGTGGTGGCGGTGGTGGCAGTGGTGGTGGCAGCAGAGGCTGGGGCAGCAGCCCCCCGTTCTTCGCCACAAGCTCCGTCGGTGACAGGCCTCATGCATGGCCACGCTGCACATGCCTTCCTTTCTTCCAGGCCTTTTCTTCTTGGCCTCGCCTGAGGAGCAGTGGCTAGCTCCCGGGCTCTTCGCAGCTCCTACAAAGGGAGAAAGAGTTGAGGTCCTTTCTGGTGGAGGGAGGAGTTGGCAAAAGCAGGAGGTGGGGCCTGTGGAGGAGGAAGGGCCTGTGGGGGGAGAAGGGGTTGTGGAAGGGG